TGCATCCCACTGCTGGTTTACCACTGAAGCTAAACAAGGTTGGTCCCTGGATGGGAGACCAGATGTGGCTGGAAGTGGTGAAAATAAGCATGTGAAAAATAAACGTGTAGGCAAGAAATGTCAAGTGGGGATTTTTTTCACGAAGGAAAAACATGTGAAACTTCACACATATCCTAAAACAACGTTTCTGACTCGTGAAAATTGCAACAACAAAACAAATCTGAAAACCACATGTTTTTTTAATGCGATTTTTCAATGTTTTTTTGTAAGGGATACATTATTCTTTCCATTTCTGTCATCAGAGTTGTGTACTGTTCCTCTCTGTTTGGCCTGTAAGAACAGCCAAGCTTAGCCCAGAGAGATGTATGTGACAGAGTCTGGAGACAATGCAGTATGCAACAGTGATTTGGACATTTGTAGTACTAATGTGATCTCATACAGTAGTTATTTCATTAGGTGTAGTGAGTACAGTACAGCATATGAAGAATGGAGTTGAAAGGCATGGATGCCCCATAACTCTATAAATCAATGCAATTGCATTTCTGTATGGATTGAATGCAGTAAACTGCTAAGGATGAACATGTCTGAAATGTAATCATCATTAATCAATCATCATTTACATGCAGTTACAAAATCCCATAAAGACAATGAAAAATAACTGGAATAAAGGTGAGAATCATCATCATCATCCTCACCATCCGTCGTTGTATCATGAAATCCCAAAATCGCCAATGCTAGAGCTGTGTTATGGCTGATCAGCCTCTGAGAGTTCAACCTGTATTGTCTTGGTAAATGGATGACTTTGACATTTCCTCCAGTGAGTAAATGTGTTCTGGTGTAGGAACAGGGAGGGGAGAGTGAAGGGATAGTTGCATAAAAATGTAATAAGCATTATTTAATTTTCCCATTAGCTCTGACTAAGAGTGATTTAACACAGAGACGCTTGAGAGAGGGAGACCAAGTATTGTTCTTAATATGTACCTGGTCTCTGATCCTGTTAAGAGTGTGTATTCTGCTAACGTGCAACTTATGAGTGTATGCACATAATGCCCTAATGGGAAAATCAGTTAATATATATATTTATTTTTTATTTTTTTGGGGGGGTAGATCAGCTTAATATTGCAGATAGATTGTAACATCCATCAATGTAATTGTCTGCATCACTTCCAATCCCCCATGTTTTTTATATATATACTCCCCTTTATTACTTTTCAACCCCACCATCCTTTCCCTACTTGGGGTAAATTAGTGAACAACAATGCCCAGGCCTCTACTTCCAGCCTATACTTACTATCTACACCTTATGGACACAGTCAATTTTACAATAATTCTATTTTATTTGTTTTTGCTCCTGAACTTCTTCTGCTCTCAACCTCTCCGATCATTTTCATGATGTCCACCCGGTTTTCTTCTATATGCCATATCTTTCTAACTGTGCTCTTTCCCAAAAGCTCCCAACATACAACCTATATACTTATTATGGACACAGTATGCTTACATTATTAGTTATCTTGTTATTATTTGTTGTTATTTGTTATTAGTCCCATCCTTCAACTCCATTCAACACCTCCCATCTATCTCTTAACACCATCCATATAGGATTTCTATTTGCCATATATATTTCAACCGTACTGTGATGTTTTACAAAAGTTCTGAACCTTTCTATTCTAATTGCTTCTACAGATTGTGAATTAAAAATAAACATTTTTGCTAAAAGTATTATTATATTATTGATCGATTTGCTATGACTTTTCAGATCACCCAGTAATGCTATCTGCAAGGTTAGCTCCAGGTAAATATTGCAATCCTTTAGCCATTCCTGGATCTGTGTCCAAAAACAAGTTACAAATGGACAGAACCAAAACAAATGATCTAATGATTCTGTCTCTTCACAGCAAAATCTGCAGAGCTGGGAAGATTGTATCCCCCATATAAATAACATTCTATTGGTAGCAATAATTTTATATATTAATTTAAATTGAAAGATTCTAATTTTTGAATCCGGTGTCGTTTTGCGTGTCAGTTCATAAACACTATGACATGGGATCGGTACGTCAAAAATCTCTTCCCAAATATTTTGCAATCTATATGGGACGGCTGTCAATCCTTTGGTCCTTAAGTGAAACTGATATACTTTTTTATTTATCACAGTTTTCCTTAAAATCAGTTAATATTACTCACATGAGGAGAATGCCTTGGACCATCAACTCACATGCACAGCACAGAGACTCATGGTTGATTCCACATACACGTTTTATTTGCATCGTAGGATTGAAAAATGAACGGCCACACTGTACGTGCCTGAGTATTCCTGAGGGCAGACCGGATCTGGCAGGTACAGAGTCTTTACAGGTGGAGCCAATACAAAGAACAACCAGAAAATAACAAAGAAGTGAATCAAAACACTGCATTGTGAATCTAGCAACTAGCTGCCCTCTGTGACTGGTTACAGCGTTGAGGATATGCTGATTAAGCAAGGGGCTCACTATTCCTCACTAACCCTGATGAGTGTTCATTTGTTACCAGTGTGTTACCAGGGTGGTAGAGAGGGGCCACATTATACTGCACCAGTAGGATTAAAACAGACAGCCATCACATCTATGATGGGTGTATTATTTTAATCTAATTGCATATTGTTGTTAATCATGTTTACCAGTCACTGACAGCTATGAAAACCCAGTATGGGATTAGCTAGTCGTCTCAAGGCCAGCATCTCTTTATCTCAAGGCCTGTCTCACTTGGTTCCCATGGGCTACACTGACAGAGTCCATCTGTGCACAAATCTGTCCCCACCTGACCATACCTGAGTGGCGTTCTCTAGGCCCAACACCTCCCTATCAACAAGTAGCTGCCGCTGCCCTTTGCATCTACGCTACCATTTTAAATGTTTCAGTATTCATCCCCCTTGGCGTTTTACCTATTTTGTTGCATTACAACCTGTAATTTAAATGGATTTTTATTTGGATTTAATGTAATGGACATACACAAAATAGTCCAAATTGGTGAAGTAAAATGAAAAAAAAAAATAACGGAAAAGTGGTGCGTGCATATGTATCACCCCCTTTGCTATGAATCCCCTAAATAAGATATGGTGCAACCAATTACCTTCAGAAGTCACATAATTAGTTAAATAAAATCCACCTTTGTGCACGATGCATGATCTGTCACGTGATCTCAGTATATATACACCTGTTCTGAAAGGCCCCAGAGTCTGCAACACCACTACTAAGCAAGGGGCACCACCAAGCAAGCGGCACCATGAAGACCAAGGAGCCTTTCAAACAGGTCAGGGACAAAGTTGTGGAGAAGTACAGATCAGGGTTGGGTTATAAAAAAATATCAGAAACTTTGAACATCCCATGGAGCACCATTAAATCCATTATAAAAAATGGAACGAATATGGCACCACAACAAACCTGCCAAGAGAGGGCCGCCCACTAAAACTCACAGACCAGGCAAGGAGGGCATTAATCAGAGAGGCAACAAAGAGACCAAAGAAGCATGGTGGTGGGAGCATCATGCTGTGGGGATGTTTTTCATCGGCAGGGACTGGGAAACTGGTCAGAATTGAAGGAATGATGGATGGCGCTAAATACAGGGAAATTCTTGAGGGAAACCTGTTTCAGTCTTCCAGAGATTTGAGACTGGGACGGAGGTTCACCTTCCAGCAGGACAATGACTCTAAGCATACTGCTAAAGCAACACTCGAGTGGTTTAAGGGGAAACATTTCAATGTCTTGTAATGGCCTAGTCAAAGCCCAGACCTCAGTCCAATTGAGAATCTGTGGTATGACTTAAAGATTGCTGTACATCAGCAGAACCTGCGGAACTCATCCAACTTGAAGGAGCTGGAGCAGTTTTGCCTTGAAGAATGGGCAAAAATCCCAGTGGCTAGATGTGCCAAGCTTATAGAGACATACCCCAAGAGACTTGCAGCTGTAATTGCTGCAAAATGTGGCTCTACAAAGTATTGACTTTGGGGGTTGAATAGTTATGCACGCTCAAGTTTTCAGTTTTTTGTCTTATTTCTTGTTTTCTTATTTCTTATTTTGCATCTTGAAAGTGGTAGGCATGTTGTGTAAATCAAATGATACAAACCCCCCAAAAAATCAATTTTAATTCCAGGTGGTAAGGCAACAAAATAGGAAAAATGCCAAGGGGGGTGAATACTTTCGCAAACCACTGTACACGTAGATGGTTTCACCTTTTAGCGATTATTCTGAATTGTCATTATTTTTAGGAATCCAAGTACTGCTGCATCACTGTCATGGGAATATATTGTATGGGAAACAGACTGCCAAGCAGTACAATGCACATTGGCCAGATCATCCCCACAAACCACCGCAGATTGAACAAGCAAAAAAAATTACATATCATAACATTTTCTATGTGGGCGTCTTTTTAATTTCTTAATTTCTTTGTGTTTCTTATATCTCTCAATACATATGTGTCTCTGAAAAGCATGTACTGTCATATATTACTGTCATATATTACTGTCATATACTTAAATGTAGGTTCTATTGTAGACACTCCTCTTCATCATTCTTCTCTGAGCTCAGCTGATGACTTTGTGCTTATTATCACCCAACGCTCTGTGCAAATTAAACAACAATACAGTAGTTTCATCAAAATTAAACAATTATTTCGAGCATTTATGAAAACTAATGTGGCACCACAAGTCCATCAACTCACAATGTAAAATTACAAATAAAAGAGACAACTTTAATGTCAGATTTTGGCTTGCATAGCAAAGCAAAACAAGAGAAAAACTGAAAATACAAAACCTATTTACAAGAAATGCAACTCCTTTCACTTTCATGAGTCAATAGCTTAACTATAGTGATTTTTCTTCATTAATGTGGAGTGAATTACTGTACATCATGTGACATGAAACAGGAGGGGCAAGTGACATACAGAATATTATGTTGAAAGGAGGGATGAAAGCAACACTGTAAAAAGAACACTGTGAGACGTGTCTGTGTGTCTGTACATCACATTTACAGCTCTCTCTTTTCTCTTCCTGACATCTCTCCATCCTCCGTCCTGTAGCATTTGGAGAGAGGAAATCTCATTGCACTTATAGACAGGCAGCACTGGAGGGTCCGACTCATCACAAAGACTCTGCAAGAGGAAGACACAGAGATCCGAAACCAAAGTGTCAATCTCAGGTGATCATTTATCACAAATTCCTCACTTACTGTACAGTTCATAAACAAATTACCATTGTGGAATTATTAGTAAGGAGACGCTAGATACGTACATCGTTCTCCATAGTTCTGCTCGGTGCTGTTGGGAGGCGGGTGGCCATTGTAGCTGTTGTGTGGGTGGTCAGTGCCAGCCCCAGCCCTGTGGCGTGCCCTGCCCAGGGTGCCCATGTTGGAGGGTGTGCCGCTCCAGGAAGCCATGTGCTGCCGCTCCAGCGTGGAGACCATACACTCCTCAGGGGGGTCTGAGCCTCCGGCCAACCATGAACCATGCAGCCTGGCCCCCACACTGTGGACCGGCTCTGGGGCAGGAGAGGCCACTGAGGAGAGAGGATGACAAGATCAGATTAATACTGTCATTAACCTTTGGGGTAATACACAGTCTTTGTAATCAAGGATGGACCAGTGCGTCATATCGTAGGGATCAGTATGGCTATAAAGGTCTTTAAAAACCACAGTCAACAAAGAAAGCTCCCATCCACCTTCCCCGTCTCTCTTTCCCCATCTCTCACTCTGTCCTCTCCCCCCTCACCCCATGTCTTACCATCTGTGGGGGTGTCTCTCCGTCTGGGCAGTGTCCCAACAGTTTCTGCCCGGGGTTTGCATCCAGTGTGTGTGGCCCTCTGGTGACCGAGGCTCTGTGTGCCCAGACCACTGCTCTCTGTGGAGCCTGAGCTGCCTGGTCGACCCCGCTGGGAGTAGCCTTTACCTACAGGGGGTGATGGAGAGAGCACGGGTATAGAGAATTAGAGAGATGCACAACATAGATAATCAGTTTAGATTAGCAATCAATTACTTTTTATCACAACCTTTACACTGATACGCTATATATTAGAAAGTAAAAAAATTAACAAGTTTGAAAAAAAAACTATTTTGTAAATCAAATTAACTGAGGAGAGGAAGAGAGGAGAGGCGGGGGGGGGGGGGGGGGGGATCACTGCAAGAAACTTTCCTAGATAAGACTGTTGGTGTGGGTACTATGGATAAACTACTCTCACATCTTGACAATTCAAGGTAAAGGATAAGATGTGGTTATAATTATTGGCTCCCATCCTAAATGCATTGGCCTTTTCTCTGTCTGTGTGTGTTGGCTCTCTGGGGGAGAGGAGACAGAGGAGAGACCTTTGTAGAGATAAGCTGATCTAGCATAGCCTTCTCCCCACAGAGGCAACACAGCAGATTACTGCACACCACCTACTTTATCACAGACACAGCACATATATCAGCAGACAGTCCCCTGTGTCTCAGCTAGCATGCCTAATGTTCCATCATCTCCCAGAAAACTGACTAGGACTGAACAGTGGTCTCACTCTCCCCCACAACACAGACTAGGGGTCTACAAAATAACATCAATCTTGCCCTCTGCATCTGAAGTCACCTCACCTTGTGCCTTCTCCCCAACTCATTCTCTCACTCTCCTCATAGTTTTAGATGTCAGACGCTCTTGTGTGTCATTAGGTTTTAGAACATTATAGAGACTGAAAGAAGAAGTGTTTAGACAATATGGTCATACACTTAAAATGTGGTCCTCTGTAGCTCAGCTGGTAGAGCACGGCGCTTGTAACGCCAAGGTAGTGGGTTCGATCCCCGGGACCACCCATACACAAAAATGTATGCACGCATAACTGTAAGTCGCTTTGGATAAAAGCGTCTGCTAAATGGCATATTATTATTATTATTATTATAGATGTCAGTGAGAGTTTGAAAAAAAAAGCCCAAATGAGATGTCACAGAGAAAGATAGCTTCCATCTGAAATCAAATAACTAGCTAGTTCAATGTTTCTGTTCTTTCATGGAGATCGTTTTCACTAATGTGTGCACACCAGATTGCACAAACTCTTTCCTTTCTTTCCCTTTTATATAATGTTTTTTTCAAATTAATGAGTCTGAATATCACATTATGAAACCATCAGTCTTGAGTATGACATGGTATGGTTGAGGAAATTGGAAATCAAAAAGCTGTCAGTCAAAACTGCATAATGTGCAAGGCATTTAGTCTCTATAAGTGGTGACTGAATAAAACCATTGCTATTGCCAATTTACTCACTGCTCCCAAATCTTTGACATCCTGCTCGACAAAAAAACACATGAAAAAATCACATGTGAAAAAAAACATGTGGTTTTCATAAATGTGTGAACACATTTATGTATTTTTCACATTTATTTTTAACCACTTCCAGCTATATCTGGTCTTCCATCCAGGGACTGACCAATACCCACCCTGCTTAGCTTCAGAGACAAACCAGCAGTGGGACGCAAGGTGCTATGTTGCTGGAATGAATGTGCCAAAACTTTCAAAGGCAGCGAAAGCAAAGGCCAGGGTAACATAACCAAAGATAGGGAAAATTGCACAAAAGAGGGGGGCGTTTTATTTAATCGCATTATCATAACAAATGTTTCACAGATTATAATTTTTTGCATCCATTTAAAATTAATTTGTTCTCGCATTTCAAAATTATTTCCTTGCAATATTTTGTTTTGCCATCAATAATTTGTGGTTTATGTTTTGCTTTCAATATCATTATTTTTGTTTGCAATACTAATAATTTTGTTCTCGACTTCAGAAGTTTTGCTTGATATTAATGGCACAAAAGTAATAATAACACTATTACTCTATTAAAGTTGTTTAAAGTGGCAATCCTTAATTGTAACACAGTTTCAGTAAAATGCAACCAGTCTCAAATACATAGACTACGCTAAGGATGCAACTACTGACCATCCATGATATCAAAATTACAGTGGTTGTTTAGATTTACTTTGTCTACAGTAAATCAAGCTTATATTTTGGGTTCTGATGGGGTTTGACAGATTAACTAAACTCATGAGGCATTTATTCGTTATTTCACATGTGAACTTGCAATTCCACATCTGAAAGTGAGATTTTCACATGTAGAGTTTTCTTACAAATTGGATTTTCACTTTCAAATGTGGAATTGCAAATATTCATGTGAAAAACGATAAAATTTGGAAGTTTTTCACATATAAACCTGCAAATTAGATTTTCACGTGATTGATTTTCATATATGAACTTGAAATTCCATTTGTGAAAGTGAGATTTTCACATGTGAAACTGCAATTAACATGTGAGGTGAAAACGTGCTATTCTCCTCACATGTGAAAAGGTGGTGTTAACATGTGAACCAAATTTAGTACATGTGGAAATATGGTGTGAAATTTAAGCTCAACATGTGAAAACAACTATTCACATGTGAAACTGCAAATTTGACATGTGTTTTCTTTGTAAGGGTGCACTGTGAAGAGACGGCAAGAGGGGCATGATCTGAGTGTGTGTGTGTGTGTGTGTGTGTGTGTGTGTGTGTGTGTGTGTGTGTGTGTGTGTGTGTGTGTGTGTGTGTGCGTGTGTGTGTGTGTCTCACCTGAGCCCTCCAGGTTGTCCATGCTGAGTCCAGCAGTGTAGTCAAAGCCACAGAGCTGACGTGACACTCCGTAGCCTTCATCCTCCTCTTCTTCCTCACACTGGAGGTTGGTCCCCAGGTCAGACCCCAGCGTGCTAGACACATAGCCCATCGGAGGGACAGGGGCCTTGGGCGGTTGTGGGCTGCCCTTCATATGCCTGTATAGAACATGAGGGAACATGTTATGTCACTGAGACTGGACACTGAGCAGTAGATAAAGACACAAACAGACAGGACGTAAATGCTGAAACACAAGTCCCTGAACAACCAAATGCCAGAGTGCAGTACTAGGGCCTCGTTCAGTATGGGTGAGTGTTTGTGTGGGAGATTGAATTCATTATTTTCTCTTCACATCCATGTGCACATTCATTCCGCGACGCTCGTGTTAGCACTAACACAATGGACTGGTAATTGTCTGGGTGAAGGAAGAAGAATGGCGGGCTGGGCAGGGTTGTCAGTAACGTGTCTGTTATCTCCCCCACCGCTGTCCCCTCTGATGCCTCGCCCCTCTACGGAGGAGTAATTAGCAGCTCTTCTTCCTGTTGTCAGAGCAGCACGCTAGGCCAAACTCCATCATTACCCCCTCAACACATGTTCCTACTGACATGACACGTTTCCCAATGCCTGTTAGAGGTGTAATCAATGAAGGGATGTTTTTATCGCTCACATGCAACATGAAACCAGGGGTTAGGATGACATACCTAAATACCACACCAATATGAAACAGTCAACAAGACTATTGGCTATTGATATGCAAAAGCGTCCAGCTCAATTCTAGAGAATGACAGCTCATTCATTCACAGTGCAAAGCAGAAATTGCCAGGTGAATGTCTCATGATTGAAATATCATAGGCAATTTAGACAAGTCAAACAAGTACCGGTGGCAATTCAAAAGAACACAAAGTACAGTACTTATCTTTTCATTTCACTGTGGAAAGTGGATACATAATGCATCCTAACCATGCAGCAAGGTCAATTGTTGTGTCATATCATGTCTTATGGATACATAGAAAGGAGTCTCTCTCGCCAGACTCGGGGTGCTCCGCACACTTCACAGCGGCTTTGAGAAGAGACTACATAGAAAGTTGTGAGGTATAGCCCAAAGGAAGAAAAAAATACACTGACAGATCCACAGTAAGTTCTCGCCTCCTCACCACGTCTGTTTGGCCACTTCATACTGGTAGGCTCTGGTCAGCTCATCCAGGTGGGCCTGCAGCATGGACTGCATCTCTTCGTGGTGGGTGGAACTTAGGGAGGAGGAAGACGGTTGGCTGTAGGGAGCTGCTGCCGGGGAGGAGGCCACTCCCCTGAGGGGCGGGGTGGGCACTCGCTCCTCCTCTAGATCATCATCCAATCCCTGGTGGAGGTAGGTCTGGACAGGAATGGGCGGGGCCCAGCTGTCACTGTCATACCTACAATATGTAGGGAACGAGAATGTGAGTAATTCAGGCTAAAACCTAAAACCTTATACTGTGGACGTGTGTGTCTATGGCTGTGTTTACACAGGCAGCCCAATTCTGATATTTTTTACCACTAATTGGTCTTTTGACCAATCAGATCAGCTCTGAAAAATATCTGATGTGAAAAGATCTGATGTGATTGGTCAAAAGACCAATTAGTGGAAAAAATATCCTAATTGTGCTGCCTGTGCAGATGCAGCTTATGGTGCTTAGAATTCGATGTAAGTGTGTTACTGCTAGTGCACAGTGACTTGCTCTCAGTGTTATACACTGGTTACGAGACAAAGCTTAGCCAACAGACAAATCCGATTATTTTTTTACTGGTTTGTATTTTGCCAGACCATTAAACACACTGTTATCTGATGTTCTATCAATCAGCAGAGGGAGAGAGGGAATTACACAGATTGTCTGCAGTTTGTAATTACAAAGTGACTGGCAGGAATGGGGTGCTGAGATCAAATGACAAGATCTAACCACATGCTGTTTTGTTATAAGTGGTGGTGAACCAGCCAAAGCTGCTTGAGACTGCCTGCAAGATATGTATGCATATGTGCACACCCCAAGGGTTTAGGCAGAAATACACTGAGTGTACAAAACATTAGGAACATGACATAGACCTACCTGATGAATTCCCTATGATCCCTTATTGATGTCACCTGTTGAATCCACTTTAATCAGTGTAGATGAAGGGGAGGAGACAGGTTAAATATGTATTTTTAAGCCTTGAGCCAACTGAGACATGGATTGTGTATGTGCGCCATTCAGAGGGTGAATGGGCAAGAAAAAATATTTAAGTGCCTTTGAATTAGGTATGGTAGTAGGTGCCAGGCGCACCGGTTTGAGTGTGTCAAGAACTGCAATGCTGCTGGGTTTTTCACGCTCAACAGTTTCCCGTGTGTATCAAGAATGGTCCACCACCCACAACTGTCAAGTTGTGTGAGCATGGGCCAGCATCCCTGTCGAACACTTTCAACACCTTGTAGAGTCCATGCCCCAACGGATTGAGGCTGTTCTGAGGGCAAAAGGGGGGTGCAACTCAATATTAGGAAGGTGTTCCTAATGTTTTGTATGCTCAGTATATCTCAACTTCCTCAGATTCCCAAGGAAAGTATGATAATATGATAATTTTGAAATCTTACATTTGTCCTTGCACAGCAACAGTCCTAACCTCATTATATTACCCCCAATATCTAGGGCAAGGTTTTTCCACTGCCCTCTTTCCAAAAAACGCCTGTGACAAAAACAGTGTATTTTTCTTGCAATACCAAGCAGAGTAATGAAGATGGCTGTTTCCTCAGTATGACAAGTGCAGGCACCAGGAGCTCAATCAGCACTGGCGCACTACCCCCTCTAACAGCCTGCTGCTAGTCTGTGCTTAGCCCTCTCCTTTAGTACACATACACACACATGCACACACACACGCACACACAGCTAGAGATAGAGGAGAGTTCCAGGAGAGTCAGAAAGCGACGCTGGTTACAGCCAATTAGGAGAGGGTTTTCTTTGCTCTCAGTGGCTCACTGACAGACCTCAGATCCCCAGTAGACAAGAAAGGCTACATGTGCTCCTTGCTATTATTTCACTTCCGGTGTAGCATCATGATAGGATGTTTATAGGTACATGTATCAAAATACTATTTATGGTATTTCAATGACTATCAAATACATTTTAAAGTACGTTTTTTTTGTGTGTTAAAAACCCCCACAATAGTTATATACAGTAATAGTAATGTACAGTAGTAATATTGGAATGGATTTGGATATACACTTGGAATGTATTGGCACGTAGTATTACACAACGTATTTTCAAATACAAAAATAAATACTCCCATGCATTTGAACCCAGGTCTGCTTGGTATTTGAAATAATGTATTTAGAAATACTTTAAGTAATTATTTGAAATAGAAGTAGTTGATTCGGGCCACATTATTTGAAAATACTCAAATACACAGAAAACAAGTATTTAAATAACAAATAATCAAACACATGTATTTGAACCCAGGTCTGGTATGTCTACATGTGTGTGGAGACAGAGAGCATATTATCTTACCCTCCTCCATGGTTCTCTAGGGGGTAGTGGTCCACCTCGGTGCCTGGCAGAGGGTGCATGGGTGGGGGAGGCAGGGGCATGTTGACCCAACAGGACCCATTGGATTTGGAGGTCTTCGACCCACCCTTCGACTTCTTTTTCTTGCCGCCCTTTCCACCTGAGGAGGGAGAGAGAGAAAGAGAAAGAGAGAGAGAGAGGGAAGATAGTTGATCTTATCAGCCCGGTCTTTGCCTCACAATGTAGAGATATCCCTACAGCCCCCAAGCTGTGGGTTTTAATGAGCTGATACTATTTCCCACCCCATGGGGTTCAAACACACACACACACACACACACACACACACACACACACACACACACACACACACACACACACACACACACACACACACACACACACACACACACACACACACACACGCACACACACACACTGCCGCTTGCAAAGCTATTTTATCATCTCCCTCTCTTTCTCCCCCACCTGGCTCTCATTATTTCTCTCTTCTCAGTGTGCTGACGGAGCACTAAGACTTTTCCTCTATGTTGACATATTGTGACCTTGGGACTTGGGACTATTGTGACCTTGGGACTATTCTATTTGCACAAAGCATAGTTCTGAGATATTGAGCATCAAAGTTTTCACATCCCAGATATCAGAACTGTTTTGTAGTAAATGTTGCTTTCACAACCCATTAAGATCCTCACCTTAAAAGGTACCTAAAATGAAGAGTATCAAACTCCTGTGACATTTTTTAATCCGTTTTTTTAGGGGGGTGCAATTGCAGAAAGAACATTATGGCTCTGAAATGTAAATCTGGGTTCAGCCAAAAGGTTCTATCTGACACTTCTGAATTAGTAGACATGTTCCGTTTTTAAGAAAACTGTAGCTATTTGAATACATCATTGATAGAATAACACTATTTTATCAAGATAGAACACCATCAAATACATGAAGAAATATATTATGATAATCAGACGAATTACTGTCATCACTGAACAACGATGTAACAACATAATATACTTTTTCATTTGACAGACGCTCTTATCCAGAGTGACTTACAGTTAGTGAGTGCATACATTTTTTCATACCGGTCCCACGTGGGAATCGAACCCACAACCCTAGCGTTGCAAGCGCCATGCTCTACCAACGGAGCTACACGGGATTACTTAAAGACTTCTGACAGTTTTATTTTGCTTGAGTGCCATTATTGCTGGCTAGACTAAACCATACTTAGAGTGAGATGGCAAAGACGTGTTCTGATTGGTTCGTCTGTATATGTTCAGGCTTGTGATTGGATTGCAGATAGAACCTTATAGTGCCAAGTTCAAATGAGTTTATGCAGATAAAACTTTCTAGTTTTTCATTTTTTTCACTTAAAATGTACTTTTAAATAACTTCACAGATATTTTAAGAACCATCTAAAGACCAATTATATGACTAACACATTTTTTACAAAAATGTCAGATATAAGCTTGTAGGCCCAAAGTCTCGATTTCTTAAAGAGGCACTGAGACCTGGGGCCCGGAGCTGCAGGCTGGCTCCCTCCCTCTGTCCATTCCCTCTCTTCCTCTTCCTCTCTGTTCCTTATCTCTCTCAGTTAACCAGCACTCAGCTGAGCATACAGCCCAAAACACGCAGGAGAATGGCCGGCTGACCGACCAACAGACAGACTGACTGAGACTCTCCCTACAACACGGCTCTGCTCGGCAAAGCCAAGCTAATTGAATATCCACGGGTCAAAACACAAAGGAATCCCTGCCTCGGCTAATCAAATTAATCCAAATAAATATGCCTTCATTTTCTGACATTTCTGGGGTAGAAAACTCCTGAGGCTGAGGAGTAAAAATTGACATGAAGAGAGGAGCGATTAACCACTATATCCTCAGGGTCCATTTACAATGAAAATGTAAATATAACATCCCCCTCATCCCCCTCTCTCTGCTTCCCCCTTTCTCTCTCCCTCTCTAACTTGTTGTTTGTGCTCTCCCTGTCTCCTCTCTCTACTGAACTCAACATTCAACTCTCTTTTCTAATCAATCCACTGAAAATACATCTCTTCATCTATTGTTTCCAGCACTGGCCTAACGCAGTTTCTCTGGACCCTCCCGGCAAGGTCGGAGTTCGCCACCCCACCAAATAAAAAATCGAATGCGTCAGCCAGACAGCTACTCACAAAGTCTAGACTACCGATCGCTGTCCATGTCACTGAAGTTGCGATATGTCTATGCGGCTGCCTATCGAATGGATGATAGGCTTTCTGTGGTGCCAGGGCATGTAGCATATAGCTTTGCTTTAGCTAATGGAGAAATGTTTAATGGTAGAGCTATTTGGATGTAATTGTCTCATGTTAAGCCTAACATTTCATGAAGTTACAGTATACACAGTGTCACTAGGCTGCCATTTAGACTCCTGGCTGGTGGCAATAATGTTATTACTTGTTCAGTAATTAAAGTTGGAAATTCAAACATTGCAGATTGTAAAATGTATTTTCAATACAACAGCATACTAATCAGCAACCATTTTTTTATGTTTTTTTTAATATATATACACAACTGTCCTGTATAGCGTACCTGAACCTGCATGACATGAGCCTTCCTCGCACACTCTCCCAGCTTGGATAAAAAGTTGTTGTGTGTAAAACCAGTCTAATAATGCCAAATAATACAGTCAGTCCACCCTCAAAACACTAGCTTACTAGGGACTGTTTCATTATGCAGTGTAGCCTACTATCTATAGCTATATACAGTATTTAGCTGCTATTTAGCTGCTATTATAAACCCTTTATAAAAATTACACATCAAATAGCCTAACAATGAGGAAGAAAGTAGTCGGCTTGAGGACAAATTCAGCCACTATTTATTGTTGAACTCAGCGGGTTTTGTCTGGCTAATAGCCTACACAAATGGGCTGCAATATAAGGTAAATTAAATGTAATCAAATTAAATTAAATCCAACTTGAGAGACTCACTATGGCCTGTAGGTCCAGGTTGTGGACCCGACTGTTTTCTGTACTGAGTATTGCCATCCCAGACATTCTTTCCGGAGACATTTGCATTATATGTCCATTGCGCTGCACACAATTTAAACTTAGTCTTGAATGATGAATGCCAAGATATTCCAGAGATAAGGGACTGTTGATATTGCAACCACACAATTCAAATGCCCCAGAGCTTCCTATAGCCTACAGTTAATATCTTTCCGTAACGTGTTGAGGCCGGCAATTAAGGAGAATGAGAGGCTTAATTAAAGATGTTGCAGAACTGCTGTATTTGAAGCACCACTCCCTTCTGCCCAGTTTCTCTGATGTTGCTACGGCAATCAAGCTGTTTTTAACCATTCCTGTAGCTGTCGATTTTGTGGATAGATCGTTTTCAAAACTAAAACTAATAAAGAACTACCTAAGAAGCATTAGGCTCTCGGTCTGATATGCGCTTTGAACACCTGAGTAAGCTCCACTCATTGCACTGTCGCCGTCTTAGCCTTGACCACGACATTTGTTCACCGATATCCCCTTACTTTCAATTAGTTCAATAGTACATTTTTCAAGGCCTGAGGCAAGTTCTTGAAGCCCAAGAAAGAAAAATGTAGCTTCCTAGTACATATGGAAATTAAAAAGGTTTATGAATAACTTTTTGGAGGGTTACTGTCAAAATGATTTATTAAATGTAAAAAATATTTGTCGATGACGGGTGCATGGGCCCCCACAGCTCGTGGGCCCCCCCCCCCACCTTGTGAGAGTGTCCGGTACGCCAGTGGTTTCCAGACTTTCACTTTCTCCCTATCTTTCTCTCTCTTTCCCTCCTAGTCTTAAAGCCTATTGTTATTCCATAAAGCCATCTAATGAATGCTAAGCTTCACTCCGTGACTGACCATCCACACGATGTTACAATCTAGGGAGATCTGATGCTATGTTTTAGGGCTTCCTTTGGAGCATACACAAATCCAAGAACACATGCACACATTCAAAATCACTACCCTGCCCATCCCCTCCCTATGTTTCCCTAGTGTTGCAGTTGCTACCGTTGCAGGGGCGTCCGTTGGTCAGTGAGTAGCCCAGGTTGGCAATCTCCTGCTGAGCTCGAAGGGACGCCTTCCAGCGGGGGTCTGGTCTGTCCACAGCCAGCTCATGGAAGCTGTTGGACTGCAGGATCTGGGTGGTGGCGTAGGGCGTGGCCTGGCTGCCCCGTGCTGGGCTGCTGTAGCCCGCCTTGCCTGTGAAGTCTATGCTGCTGTAGATGGCACCGTCAGTCAGCATGGTACCTGTCTTCTCACCCATTCCGGAGGGTAGCACATCTGAGATGAGAGAGAGAGATTAGGAAACAGACAGAGATGCATGGAGAGATAAAGTGACCAATCTTTAAGGTCAGTGTTTAACACATTAGCACTCCCTGCTCCAGCGGTAGGCTCCCTGTGTTAGTTCAACTGACCACAATCGAGCTGAGATGAATCAAAGTGATTAGCTAGCAGGATAATTATCACGTCGCCATGCAATGCCCTGTAGGGGCCCAGAGCTGTGTCCAGGGAAAGGGCCCGTCACAAACGGCTGACCTTCAGCTCTACCCACAGGGGCTCGGGGCCACTCATCAACCTGGTGGGAGCTAAACGAGCTACAGGAAAATGGCACCAATACACACATACTATCTCTCCATCTCAAACGCCCACACACACAGAAACACACACCGCCACAAGAAGACATCTAGTTTACAAGCGTATTTAACCAATCATGCATAGGCAGAAGAAACACACACACATTCTCATCAAAGTTCGTGTCAGTTTTTTGAAGCCAATAGTGATGAGCTAGGTAGCGTGATCCAGAGAGACTGAGAGTCCGGAGTGTGTGTGACGGCCTGTCAGTGTGCCTGCTGAGGGATACCCTCCACACTGAATAATGCATGCAGCTCATACATGTATTCACTGCCTCTCACTCTGGGCACACCCTGGGCACATGACCTCTGACCTCTGGCCTCACTGTGGGGCTGTGGCATTGTGTGACACCGTGGTCAACTGGGACGGTCTGGGTCAGCCTTCTCTCAACCTCCATTCTCTAGTTCTCTGGGTTTGGTTCTGTTTGACCAGAGGTGATATCTATGTTTTCTTACCTCCACGACCAAAGTTACCCCGGTCCTTGGGACCTCCCAAGCCCCCGTTGGCTGGCAGGCTGGTGGAGGGCCAGGAGTCAGCCAACCAGGGGAATCCTGGGTCACCGGCTTTCAGTAGACCAGGACGACTGTTTTTAGAGATAAAGAGAGAAGAGGGACGGAGAAGAATGAGAGAGAGGGAAGGGAGGGAGAGAGAGATTGTTATTAGGAAAACATCTGGTGCCATCTGAATCCCAGCAATATTATTCATTTTCGCACATTATGTTATACCGACTGCTTCAACAACAAATTGCTGTGAAACCTCATTCAGCATATCTGCTCCTCTGGAGCAGCCTGGAGCAGAGGCAACAATAAACAAACAGAGAGACATAAAAAACTGACAAGTCTATAAATCAGTGCTGGGCTTTAGCGCCCCTAACACCCCCTAGAGAAACGGACCAGGACTAAACGCACAGACATTAAATCCCTTTTAGAGCCCAGCACTACAGACATTTACATTTTACATTTTGAATCATGGAGGGCCTTCTGGCGGTTAGCCTGCCAGCACGGGGTGGTGGGGTAACGTCTCCATAGCAACACACATGGCAACGCTCATAGGCTGTTTTGGTGAAACCACCCCTCTCATATTGCACAGGAAACTGGCAATTTCACTCCTGAAATAAATACTGTTTTTTTATTTTGTTACTAGGAGGAGAAAATGTATTTTTCTAAACTGTATATCTGTGCTATTAACTATAACCTTATCTAGCAGTTGGTATGTAGAGAGGCTTCAGTCACATGCCTTTGTTTGCATTTGGTTAATTAATGCAGAAGTCCTCAAATGGATTTCCCTTTAAGCTAGGTCTGCCAAGCACCCAGGGCATTGTATGACTTGTGATGGCTCAAATGTGTTTAAACAATTATGACAGTAATTTCCATATAAAATCACACAGGCATGTTCCCACAAATTTACACAGACGCACACATCCAATAACCTACACACACACACGTGCGCATTCACGCACACATACACACACAAACACACTCGTTGGCTCAGGCAACACAACACAGTTTATTTTTAGCGTATTTTTTGGCTGCATTTGTATCAGCTCTGGGCGGGATCTGCCTGCTCAGGTGTGACAAAGGAGAGAAAGAGAGAGGAGAGAGAAAATGGACAAGAAAGCAGAGAGAAGGAAAGAGAGAGGGAGAGGAATATGTGATTTTCACCCAGTGATATTCAGAGCTAGGCTACGTATCTCTGTGCTCTGTCAGGCAGACCAGACTAAAGTAGCAGTAGACGACAGGGGTACTCTACATTCCTATACTGCAGTGTCTGCCTGCCTGCCTGGGGTTCAGTGGGACTGGGGAGTCTCCTCTCCAGCCCCACTCCCCTGGGCCATTATCTCTTTACATCGTAACATATGCTTGCATTCTGGAGGCGTGCCGTGAGCAGCGCCGCTCCCCGCGTGTCGACAGGCAAATTCATCACCCCCCTGGCAACGCCGCCACCGGCCCCGCCGCACAGATGAACGAGCCAATAAAAAAACCTGCTCTGCCCGCATTAATTGTTTCTGATAATTTCACGGGAGTGATTGATGACTCAATCAATCGATACATCAACGCACGTGTTGCGCCATGATGAATAAGTGGGGGAGTGTTGGAACATATAGGGAGTTCATTCATCATAACTGATATATTCATATTCCTATGATTCTGTACCCTCCGTGAAGGTTGATCATTACAGACTGATATGTTCTATCATCACACCAGCATCCATGTTGTTCCACAAGGGATGGATCATCACTTCTAATGTTTTTTTTGTTACTGTAATCAAAGACCATGGCATTACAATGTGTTTGAGTGATGGGAGTGGTTGAGTGACTTAATAAGGATTTTGTTTGTCCTCACCTTCCATTTTCAATCAGGCCTCTGTCTCGTTGAAACGTCACTGAGGTCCAACCAGAGAGAGATGGCAGGGAGCAGAGCGAGAGAGAAGGAAGAATTTTAATCAGAAGAGTGCTCTGTTAACATTGAATGTGTTTCAAGCTGGTATATATTTTTCTTAAATATATTCTGGTGCTACAGTCCAACATCCAAACTAAGGTGAGAAGACAGGACAAATGGCTAATACCTGCACGGGTAAAGGTGAAGGACTGAACTGCAACAAAAAAGACAGAGAGAGAGAGTGTGTGTTAAAAGCCTATCGACACTGTAGACAGTCGATGCAACATCAGCATAAACAAACGAACACAACCATAGACATAAAAAGACATCCTTTTGACAATGGTAGATACATTTTTATCAAGAAAAATGTGACAGAGTATGGAGGTTGGCTGGGTGACAGATACAAAGCAGGCAGCAAAAACGAGACAGAAACATTGAACTGCATGTTGAAGATGAATTTGCTCTGAGGAGAGGAGGGATCATAGGAGCGCTGGTGAATAAAGCAAATAACTATTGGATTCGGTAATCACTATGGTTTCCACCCCAGCCACTGAAGCATGGTGTTTGCAATACAAATAATGAGAATATTCCACAGCAACATGCTAAAATCACCCCCGGAGGGCCAAACGAAAAATTGCATACCTAAATCTGGAGAATGCATTTACGGCTAATGTGTGAACAACATAGGTCACGGTCCCATAATGTAAGGAAATGTGAATTACTTATTTCAAATGTGTGTATTTGAGTGTTATGGTGCAGTTTTGATGGGATTGTGTTCATAGCCGATGCACCTAGGTGCACAATGGATTAAAACAAAGAAGGCATATTTCTGTCTGAGGTGAATATCTTTGCCTTTGTTCTGCATTAAATGATACACCATCCAGCCAAAACAGCTCTGTCTCTCACCTGGGATTCCACTAACTCATCCTAGACACGTCCTCTAAAGGCAGTTGGGAAAGCTAGTCTTCACTGTAATGTTTCTGTATAGTGTTTTTGATCTGTGTTGATATTACTCAGGCCTATATCAGTAATAGTATAGTGGTTCTGACCTGCGTAGTTGCTGAGGCCCTTCCTCTTCTTCCTCCTCCAGTACAGCCAGGCGCTGAAGCCCATGAGGACGATCCAGCAGGCCCCTCCCAGCCCAGCGATGAAAGCCGGCTGCTTCACCACGTCTGAGATGCTGTTGTTGCCCTCAGCCCCCGTGATCACATCACGCAGCTCTGCACCTGGGGACAGACAGCAGGGGACAGGAGACACCCGTCAGAGGGACACCATGGCATCTGGTGGATGGATAGCGCTTTGTTGTCCAGTAGACCCAAACCAGTCAATGGCTAACATCTCTCAAAAATGAGTAAAAATCTATGTTTATCGATAGTTAATATCAAAATCTACTACATGAGTTAAAAACAAGAAATTCTGTAAGAAAGGTACAATCACGTTACAGTTATTTTCTAGGGTAAAAACAACACTATAGATAAACAATATCAAATAAAAAAAACACACCATCGAAAGCATAAAACAACTGCAATATGTTGGCAGAGAGTTAATCAATTCAGCAGCGCTCTCATCAATTTGAGCTCCGAGACGGGAGATTGACAGAGCAGCTCAGACAGAGTTTGATTTTCTGCTGCAGCTACTGTGCTGTGAAATTAGATTCACAGTCTCCAGCGTGAGCAGGAGCCCCAGCCCCAGTCATTAAGCCTCAGTCCACAGGCCTCTGTTTGCCTTTCTGTGGCCGTTAAGGATATTTTCCCCACACATCAGTCAAAAGTCACGGATGAAGAGCGTTTGGCCTGGCTCTGCTATTGATTTTAGGCCTATATACTCAGCGCATCCTTCAGCTGTTTGATAAGATGTGATAGGCTGATAAGCCCACCCCAATAACACTGTCTACTTTGTTAGCGCTGGCCGCACAGATATCGAGGAGGATTATTGATATGGCTAACAGCACTCACCACACTGTTACTGGACACTACACTAAATGAAATGCTATTGATTTCCTGATAGATCACTATGAATGGAGCCCACCTTACAGAACTCAGTGAACCTTCAGCTTCGAGCAGTACACGTGATCTCCGACAATGCACAATTTTATTTTTACCAAGTGTGATAAATTGATCAATCATTTTCCCAGACCCCCTGTCTGTGAGTCAGATTAGGGTTCCCTGCTATTATGTGTGTTGCCTCAGACCCTGTGTGTGTTACCTATGATGATGGGCTGGGGTTCGCTCTTCACCCCCACCCCGGCGCTGGTGCCTGCCGCCACCTCTACACGGTACTGCACCCCTGCCTGCAGACCCCCCACCACCACGGAACGGATGGCCGCGTCCACCGTCTTATTCACATGGAAACGTGTCTCGTTCGCCAGGCACCAGATCTAACACACAGACACACACACACACACACACACACAGGGACAGGAATTCGTGGCGAGAGACAGTTGATACCAAATGTCTTGTAATATCAACATTTGTACACAACACACATACAGTAAAGCTGTATACCAGAGCCTTTATTTTCTCAACATATAGAATACAGATTGCTGCTGCCTACCTTGTACTCCTGGATGATGCCGTTCTGGTGGTCTGTGGGAGGGGGGTCCCAGGACACACTGATGGAGGTGCTGTTATGGTTCCCCACTGTCAGCACTGTCACCTGCTGAGGAGGAGCACTGGGTGCTGCATGGGGAGACACAACAAAACAAAACATATCAACCACATATTCACATTCCAATAGAGAACTGCTGCTGCCTGCTGTTGCTGTCCACCAGAGAACAACAGAGAGCACTGCCTTGATTTATATTTAAAGAGTAGTTCAATGAGGCAGGCTGTCTCTGTAGCAGCAGTAAGGCACAATGCCACTGTGTTAAAAAATGAGCTTGGGAGAGCCACCACAACATACAGAAATAATGACTCCACTCTCCACACTTCCTGCTTCCAGACTCTATCTCTCTTTATCTTCCTCTCTCCAACCTTCATCCCTTATATTTAAGTCTTTCTCTGAATCATTTCTCATTCCTTTTAATCTCTTTTCCTGGCAGAGTAGCAGTACCAGAGGTCTCTTGGTGCCTTTGTAGGTTTAGGTGAATCTACTATAATAATCCATCTAGTTACAATATCTAATGCCAAACAATACTATTGGCTGTTGAACTTCCAAGATCCAATCACTCTTCATTGCCTGGTGAAATTCCATACAGCCTTACTAAACATACCAATAACCGATTCACTGTGCCCTTCCAAAACAGAGCAGAGCAGACTGGCACGTGTACCCCAGACAGAGTAAAGTATGGGCCTGTGATGAAGGGCCCGAGCCCAGCGACTGACGCCGCCTCCCCCATCATGCGCAGTCACACGTTTGCGCTCGGGATGCTAAACCAGCACATTATGCATATCTGAGCTAAATGAAAGCACTCCGTTGTGGTGAACAGTAATGAAGGAGATGCTAATAAGGCCATTAGCTCTGTGATGTATCACCGGCAGAAATGTGACCTGCTGCGTGCCGCGTCGCGTGCCAAGTGACACTCTGGCAACCCCATGTCCAATCGGTTTAGATCGACAAAACACTGCTGATCCCCAGTGTGGGCTGACAGACCACTCAGACCAGTCACCTTCAAAGGCTGTATGGGGATTCAAACAGCTAGGAGACACATGCATGCTAACAGCATGACTATAGGACAGTTTAACACATAGACCTATTGTTTCTATAGTGTTGGAGGTTTATTATTCATTCATTCAGAACACTACAGCAACTTAATACTCTGAACTACCATCTCTGTATTCCCAAGGCACAACTAATTTAAATCAGATTGATTGGTTGGGTTAACTCAGGACTTAACTCAACTGAGAAGCCATACATTTTGTAATGGCATTATACAGTCAGTGGAAGATCCATGTGAATCAGCTATTGGATTGTTTCTCAGTGAAATGTGGCTAGCCAGGTGGGACGTTACACAACAGTCTCATTTACCAGCTGGCCTCTGAGCCACCTGGCTACCGTGGATACAGTAGATTTCTCCAGAAGGACCCTAGGTCTGGAGAGAACTGGCTACACGGACTGAACATGCCCAGAGCGTTACACTTGGATAACAACTCCTGTGTGGGCCTAATTGGGTTAATGGACACAAGGAATAAAAAGCAGCCTGAACGCTGCTGGCCCCAATTAATCAACCACTCACACAGGGCTGAATCTTAACCTGAGACGCCAATGTAACTTGAGCTTCTGTTCAAATCTCTGACTGACATCAATGTTTGATTTGCTGTAAGTGAACGTTTGATTTATGCATGTGTAGGATGGAGAGGTGGAGAGATGGAGAGGGGGCTGAGTGATAGAAGAGTAGAGAGCATAGCGAGGGAGAGATCAGAGAGAGCTCAGCGAGAGAAGATATCGCAGATATGATATCTCTCTCTCTTATCACAAACCCCCCCACGTCCCCTACATCCCGCCACCAGTACATCAACCGCCCTCCCGCCCTCCCGAAAGACGACCGAAAGCAATAACTAAGAAAGACAGAGCGAGGTGGAGGGAGGTAAAATCATAAAGTCATAGTATGAATGTTGTATGCGACAGGGGCATGGCAGGCGATGTGACAGCAGGGGTCCAGAGAGAGCAGAGACATGAACAGGGAGAGGCGCAGGGAGAGAAGCAGGAAGATGTTTGAGCTGGTGTCACAGGAGACAGGCCCCCCCACAGACTAAAAGGCCTGTCATACCCCCCTACAGAGCTGAGATGTCTGGGAGATCTGCCACAGGGAAGATGCCACCACAATACTCAGTGTTTGTGTGTCTTCTCTTGAGTTTTCTGATGTTTGTTTGCAGAGAGTGCGTGTGTGGGTGTGTACAATGATATTCTGTATCAGCTTCAAGGTATGTTGCCATTACCAGACGTAGCACACAAGTAGCATTGATGTAAAACAATTTCAAAAGTTTTTGACAAAGTGAAAATAAGACCTCCTACACAGTTGGCAATGTCTTTTTGTTGCATCGCTACACATATTGAGTCGGTAACGGTCCTTTACCTTCCTCCAAGGTGCGTGCTGTCATTGATTCACTGTCTGCTCCCTGGAACTCGTTGAAGTACGGGCGGACTTTTATCTCATAGACAACACCCTTCTTCAGGCCAGACAGAGCCACGTCTCTCTCAGAGGGAACCTTGAGGTCCTGCACCTGCCAGGCCCCCGGGGAGGGCAGCCCTGATGTCTGCCTGTACAGAACACGATAGCCCTGGATAAACTGGGAAGGGTTCTCCACCTGAGGGAGAGAAAGAGAGAGAGAAAGAGGGTAGGAAGGGGGTGATGATTTATATTGTGGATTTTGAAAGGGATTTTTCAATAACTAGAGTAATGTTACAAGAACATTTCTTCTTCAACATTAGCTGAATCCTATCGACTTTGAGTCATAGTAACTACTTACTGCCCATTTAAATAGAGCACATGCCGACCAAACCATCAAAAGAGAGAGCTACAAAGCTCTTACACTTGACCCCGACAGAGTGGATTAAAACCATGCATTATCCTTTTCTGTAAACATATCCCGTTACTATGGCGGGGTAAAGTTGCAGTGGTGGGGTCTGGGGAGGGAGTGTGCAACATAACTCACAGTAATGGGTTGTTAACAGGGGCAGAAGCAAGCGAAAGCTTTTACAGGCCAAATAAAGCAGCTGTTTACCCTTAGCCCAGTCCAAATAAATCATGGCGACGCGCTGCCAACGCTCTGCCTCTACGGGCGCCTGTTTGCATTTCATTAACGAAATGATTCGTGAATCCAAAATCTTTATGAATAAACCTTAGGGAGACACCCACTCACTCTCCCCCCCCCCCACCCCCCCACCCCTACCCCCTTACCTGTTGGAACTGACTGATCCAGCTAGCTAGATGCAGCCATAGAGGGAGTAAATATCATAAACAAGCAAATTCTGTTTACTTTTCCCTTGTCTTATAGGACAGGTATGCTAGGGTATGTTAGGAGAAGGGGTTTGCTTGACAACAAAAATATGTGAGAAGAACGAGGGAGAGAGAGAAGAAGAAAACCCTACGCTAATTCTGGGATTTAATCTGGCCTGTGTTACAATGAAATGTCATACTAGTAATATTATCATGTAGCTAATTGAAGATGGTAGATGGTATCTCATTGTATTTTCACAAGAGTGGTATTGTTGACTGTTCACTTTAATATACCATGTTTTGAACTAGTATACCATTGGATAATATGTTCAACGCAATGGTGCTATGCACTATGCAAATCCCTATCTCGAAGAGCCCAGATACCTAATAATGTTAAAATGTCATCAAGGCACCGGTGCGTACAGTGCTGAAGCATATGGAGTGTGTGCATGTGAGTATGTGTGAAATAGAAGAGCCTCTGTCATTAAGCAGTGCTCTCCAGAAGGCAGATGGGACACCTTGCCAGGAGAAAATAATAATAACCACCAGATAAAGAGCTGACTGCAAACAGCTTCCAAAAGAGTGAACACAACATGTTGCTGCTAATGGTGATCTATTTGTCACGGTGAGAAACATTTGTCTTCATTCCTGCGTCACTCCAAATGATCACAGATTGATGGAACACCAGCTGTCCCTGGACTCCAAGTCCACCCATCTCAGAAGCTGTCTCTGTGTGCGTGTGTGTGTGTGCGCAGACAGTGGTTGACACACAGCATTGTCTGTGAAAAACAAAACTGAAACTGTGTATATGAAGCTTGGAAAGACTAGCTAAGCTGTCTCTGTTCCTGAACGATCCTAATGCTGTACTCCAGCCAGCATGGAAAACAAGTTTCATCTCTCTCGCTATTCAGCTGGAGATTCTGTGAGAATAATAACTCACCACAGAGACAAAGCACTCTGGTTCATACCCAAGTTCCTCATTGTGCCATATATGGTAAATCAATGAATCATTTGGCTCTGCAAGTCAAAATGTTTAGTTACGCTTTATTTAGTGAGTCGTCTTACATATGGTCAACAGATGCTCAAACTATCAACCAACTAACAACTGCATCTCTGTTGATATGCAACAACAAAAACAATTGTAAGTAATCCAAACAGTTGTACTCACGGTCCATGTGACCTGGACAGAGGTGGAGCTGATGACCACAGGGTTGTGCATGCTGGCCACCACATCACCCAGCTCCTTCTGGACACGACGATGGTCAACACCCTGCACTGGAGGACTGATGTCTGAGAGAGAGACAGAGACAGAGAGACAGAGAGACAGAGAGAGAGAGAGAGAGAGAGAGAGAGAGAGAGAGAGAGAGAGAGAGAGAGAGAGAGAGAGAGAGAGAGACAGAGAGACAGACAGACAGAGACAGAGAGAGAGAGATGCCATCAATAATTGCCATCAAACCCATTTCAAATGTCATGTTGGCATGTAGCACATCCTGGTTGGTTAAGTACCTTGTGTGCGGACAGGCTCAGACATGGGGCTGGGGTCTCCGAGACCCTGGGCGTTGACCGCTCTGATGAGGAACAGGTAGACTGTGTTGGGTCGCAGGTCTTTGACCGTGAACTGTGTGGTCTTCACGTGGTCGGCCACAGTCTGCCAGCTGTTGCTGACCAGCTGACTGCTCACAGAGAACCGTGGAGAGGAAGAGTGTTAGTGAGCCCAGCCAAGAAAAGCTTTTACAGTAATAGCTCTCCATAGTTACAGTCCTATTGTTTCGCGCTTGGCTAATTTACCTAGCAAAATCAAGATACTGCACGACTGGTCTGAAACCAAACCTAAACACTTAAACACTGATTCAAATAGACCCTGATCAACCTTCTTGGACTGTATATTTTTCTCGTATGCAAACTATTCTGCAAAATCCCTAGGATTTTTGTGCTTGCCCTGAATGTGGCAGTGACCCTTATGCCCACATAAACGAATACATCTGTCATTGCTCTGAAAGTTTGGGGTCATTTAGTGCGGCTTCGCTTGGGGCCACTGTTCCCAGACGTACCCAAAGGCCTCGATGACGTAGGAAGAGACTGGGGCGCCCTCCTCGGGTCCAGGTTCCCATGACAACGAGACACTGCTCTTGGTGACATCAGTAACCTCTGGCTTAGAGGGAGGCCCTGGGAGGGCACTGGCATTGTGGGATATGGTGTCTGTGAGGTCACTGGACTCTGAGAGGGAGGAAAGGAGAAGATGCTCTATCAAAATGAATCAAATCGAACAAGGCAGATTGAAGCAGAAAGGTGCATTAGAAATGGTGGAATGTGTTTGGTGCATGGCTTCAATCAATGGTGGGTAGAAGGGACAGTAAATCAAGATGGATTGTTACTATACCTCTGACATCCAGGAAGGCACTCCATGAGGTCTCCCCACTGGAGCTGGTGGCAACACAGGTGTAAAGCCCAGAGTCAGACAGCTGAGGAGGACAGAGGAACAAAGCGATAATCACAACCTACACTGACCAGCCAGTTAAACAATCAAATAATTGCCCATTTCATTTTAAAAAAACATTTTAAAAAAAACATCCATCCATAAAAATGGTCATACACCTGACCAACCAAATATTATGCTGAGGAACAGATCAATCAACACCTCACAAACAAAGGTTTTTATATGCTCATTCAAACCTGTGTTCCTTTTTGATAGTAGTAATATTGTTTGGTAGTGAACCTCTGCTATAGAAAGAGCTCGGCAGCCAGCAGTACACAAAAAATGCATTAACCTCCATTGGCCTGACTCACTCCCAGGGGAGAGGGAGTGGGTGTGAATGAGAAGACAGAGCGGGGGAAGATGAAAAAAGAGCCATGAAGTGCTGACGTTAATTTTCTTAATACATTTAATTTAGTACTAGTCAGCCCCCCACATCCTCAGCCCCATCATCATCAATACAGACACAGTGAAACAGAGACATGATAATCTATTTAACGCTGGCCGCTTTAACACTGGGGAACGATGACAGCTGGCCTCTCCCTCGCTCTCTCCCCCCCTCTCTCTCTCTCTCCCTCGTTCCCTCTCTTCCGGTCTCCCCTCTCCTTCGCTTTCTTGCACCCTCTTCCCTTTCTCTCTCAATTTTTTATGTCTTTCCCCTCACTCCCTCCCTCCCCTTCTCTCGGTCTCCTTATTTCACTACCTCCGTTTTCATACCCACGTCTCCCTAAGTTTATTTATTAAATCAACCCAGAGGACTGCAGCTTTGGCCAGTCTAATGGATATTCCAATGAGATTTGGGAGATAAAGGGGTGGTGTGTGTGTGTGTGTGTGTGTGTGTGTGTGTGTGTGTGTGTGTGTGTGTGTGTGTGTGTGTGTGTGTGTGTGTGTGTGTGTGTGTGTGTGTGTGTGTGTGTGTGTGTGTGTGTGTGTGTGTGTGTGTGTGAGTGAGTGTGTGTGTGTGTGTGTGTGTGTGTGTGTGTGTGTGTGTGTGTCCGTGCAGATGTGAATGCATGTGTGTGTAGGTAGACATCTTACACACACTTTGATGGTGGTGATATGGTGCTGTACATGGTTACACTCCCCCACCCCCAATCACTGTCCATGAGTTAGAGCATCTCTAACCGTTGCCCAGGAGACTGGCTTTAAACGACAGCTTTAAATGACATACAAATCAATACCCTCTATTCATCTTTAAAAGCAACATGACTGCACTTGTCCATTTGAATTACATCCAACTGACATCAGATGGGAAATGTTCTATCCTCTCTCTCAAAAAACAATATGACACACTCACAGATACACACAAAGAGCGACAAACACACACACAAACCTTAACAACCTGCTTTTGAGAATAGAGAGAAACCCCAAAGAACAGGCAGTGTATTGAAAAGAGGGCAAGGAAAGTAGAGAAGCAGAAATAGAAAAGAGATGAAGCCGCTGTGACAGGCAGACTCAAGGCCAAATCAATCATGAGTGAACACAGCGTGGAGTGTGGAGGAGAGGCTTGCTGCTGTGACTGGGTGCATTGTGTTTGTACACCATCAGTCCTATAAACCCACCCTGGTGCTCTGGATCTGCAGGCTGCCAGGCTCCAGCAGGGCCATGCGAGGGTCCTTCCCCAGCAGACTGAGGCCGTCCTTCAGCCAGGTCACGGTGGGCTCCGGGTCCCCTGACGCCTGGCACCTCAGCAGGGCCACCCCCCCCACAGCCTGCGTCTGGTTGGATGGGCCCTGCCGGATGATGGGCGGGGGGCGGTCTTTTGAAGCTGGAGAAAAATAAGGAATCAGAAATCATGATCAGGAATTTACAATGAAATACAAACAATGAATTATAGTTTGGTGCTATATATGTAATTATTTCTTTGACCCCATTAGTGAATTTACCACTGGAGACCCAAGGTCTTCTTGATATATTTGTTGTGATGGGGGTACCTGTTTTGGGGGTCGTATGCAAGTTTCTGATAGTGTGTGTTCATGGCACCACATCACACCTTAGCACTCTAATTACAAGGTGTGGATTAACGATGGCTCGCCTACGGGGCTAATTACCCTGCCTTCTTTCACAACACCGTTTAACACATGCACACCCTCCCTCCCTCCCAAACCTCCCTCCTCTCCTCTGACTCACCACTGCACCTCACCGCCCCCTCCCCCAGACAAAACACTGCCAACCACAGGAGAAATACATCTCCTTAATGCTCTTATATGCATGTTATGTCATTCATTGGGCAGCCTCTGCATTTCTGAGGTGTTCAATCTTTTCACGTTTTGTAATATCCTCTGTTCTCCTTCCCCTCCTTATCAGTGCTCTTAGTCTCAACTCAGACAGAGTGTTTGCATCAGCTTCTAGAGCTCTTATTTCCTATCACAGCTCCTTCAGACTCAGAGGAACACAGTAACTCCACTAAGCATACACCAGCTTTTATAAAGTGAGACATTCTTTTACTCTCTCCACATCACTACTGAGAGTTCTTATACTATCCCCACCCTATATGCATCTGCTAAATGGCATATATATATATTATTATACATTGTATATGTTATCATTGTCAGCACCTCATTGTATGATTAATATTGTACAACGGATATAGAAGCTAGCCTTAAAAAACTATTATTTAACTGTGATCAGATGCAACAACAAAAGATGACTCCTTTCTTGCATCATTTTTCACACTCAACCACTTGATCATTCCTTCACTCCCCCGTACAGTATTTGCATACTGACCTATCTTTTCCACCTCGCAGGGCAAGACTTGTTTTCTTTCCCCAAAAAATCCTTGAGCAGATGTTAATTCAATAATGTGTGTGAGGGAGCCAATACATGAATGGAGAGAGAGAAAGAGAGAGAGAGATAGAGAGAGAGAGAGAGAGAGAGAGAGAGAGAGAGAGAGAGAGAGAGAGAGAGAGAGGAGAGAGAGAGAGAGAGAGAGAGAGAGAGGAGAGAGAGAGGCCAAACAGCTCCCAATTGGCACTACCTCAGCACTTAAGATAATGATGCTCTTTGAGAGGAGAGAAGTGTAAATGTAACTCTCCATCAGGGAGAGAGTTTTCATTTAAACAGTTTCACTCTTTTCAGGATTTTCATGGCCTCTCTATGGTGCAACTTCCCACAGTGAGATGCTAATGAAATGGATGAAGGCATTTGACCGATTAGCTCTTACAGCGTTCAGCACACCACATCTCAGCCAAGATAAGTGCCAAGCATTAAACAGACAGCCTCTGACGCATTTTATGGCCGGCCCTTCAGTCCATGTTTTCAAGCAAGTGTGCGTGTGTGTGTTTGTGTGCTTGCATTTAGTTGTGCATTGTTCTCAGGCAAGGCGCACAATTGTGTTGGCAAAGGCATAGGTCTGCAGGTGTCAGTTGGCTAGGATATGCATCTGCAGGTGCACATTGGCATGACCACTTCTACAGGTGTGTGGTGTGTGTGTGTCTGTGTGTGTCCGCAGTGTGTTTGTCTGCAGTGTATACGTGCTCTATGCTCTCACCGTCTGCCACCTCCAGCTGAGCCTTGGCCAGGATGCTGCCAGCCACAGTGAGGGCCTGGCAGGTGTAGTAGCCTGCATCAGAGCGCTGTACGGAGGAGATGGTCAGCTCTCCACTCACTGACACTGACACACGGCTGTCTCCCTGGGCTGGCTGGCTAGGGGAACAGCAGATCCTGGAAAGATAGGAGAGACTCATTAGCATGGTGTTTTGTCCTGTGCCCAACAGAAAACCAGCAGGAAACATGGCGAGATTCAATTTACATGTTGCAGTTAATAGCATGAGTGAATGGTGAATCATAACTGTACTGTGTTAAATTATTATTACATTCAGTTAGTTACATAAGAAATGTGAGGGAAGGAAAGATACATTTAGAGTGACAGGAATTAACAGAGGGAGTTTTAATTGCAGTGAGTGTCATCCTTGGCAATACAATGCTATATAACAGTATAGCCCATACACCATACATGTACAATGCGAGAGCAGACTGCATTGACTAAAAAGCACCAACAGGTCAAACCAATAATCTGAAGCCTTGCTCTGTTTTCCTCCATGTCCATTCTCAGTGTGTGTTCATTACTGAGTAGTCCTCCTATTCACTCACTTATCCTAGAAATGTGTGAGTAATTCAGTAGTAAATGTGGGGGCAGAGGGGTCGGGGTCCTCTATCTGCTCAAGGTGGTTAGTCATTTACACTGTGGGTGAGAGGCGGTCAGCCCTGCCCGTGATGATGCCCTGCAGTAGGGGTCTTGACATTGAGTGAGTCCTCACGGCCGCCCACTCATAGCCTTGAGATCTCTATCTCTCTCGCTTAAATGAGATTTTTCCCCATTCCGCGTCCTGAGAGCAGACAAACGGAGGGGAATGCAAGGACATTAGCCTGATCCCATTATGCCTAACGACTCTAAAGCAGCAAATGAATGTTGTTTCTTGTGAAATAAATGGCTGGTCAGAGCATGCGGAGTGGACCGATGATTGATGACCACTTCATTATGTGACTGTCACGGGGACGGGAGTCCTGACCGCCCCCTCTCGTCCCACGGCTCTAGCCACTGTCCAATCAGGACCCAACCTTCATGTCTCAATTAACCTTTGTGTGGTTCGGGTCTGTGGGACCCATTTTCAATGTTTACTAAAATAAAAATGATATAATTAATTATTTTTTCAACCTGAGACTCATTGGCCTTGGCTCATTTTCTGTGAAGAACATGTAAAATAACACATTTTCATTGAGTGCACACTGTGCACCCCCCTACACATTTATATTACATATGTGGTGTTCGGGTCCACTGGACCCGAGGGTAATAAAAGTGTGGAAAAGTGTGTGTGTAGGTGAAAACAAGTAAAAATTAAACAAAAAGGTTTGCTGTGTGCCTTCACTCTGTCTTCCTCCTCCCTAGGTCTGCTGTTTCAACATAGCACCAATAACCTGTCTGCCTGTCTCCCGCTTTTCTCGCACTCTTTACCCTTTGTAGTGTGTGAAACCTCACAATGTCTTGCGGGAACCTGCACAATATTATTACAATACATTATTTCAATACATTGTAAAAAATGCTGTATTTTCCCACATTCTACCCCAGCCAGGTGCAAATTGGGGGAGGGACACAACAAATTAATAGCTTTGCAAGTGTGGCTCTTTACCACAATCAATCAGTATGGCAAAAATAATCTCTGCTCGGAGGGCCTTAGAATTTTTTTTGCAGAGAGAGAAGCTAGTGTGGATGGAACGTCTTCCACTTTGGAAGATGAAGAATTTTCAGAATATGAGGATCATGTCTCTGGACCGCCTTCCCCTGTTTTACAACTCTGGGCCCAACGTTACTGTTGATGAGCAGCTTATGCCATTTAGGGGCCGCTGCCCCTTCAGGCAGTACATACCATCTAAACCCGCAAAATATGGAATCAAGATCTGGGCTGCCTGTGATGCTGCTTCATCATATGTGGGGAACTTGCAAGTATATACGGGGAAGCCAGATGGAGGAGCCCCTGAGATGAACCGAGGGATGCGGGTTATCCTGGACGTGACACAGGGACTCCGTGGCCACAACATCAAATGCGATAACTTTTTTATTTTGCACAAGCTGGGACAGGAGCTCCTCAAGAGGAAGCTGACGATGGTAGGAACAATACGAAAAAACAAGCCAGGGCTCCCACCTCAGCTGTTGAATACACGGAACAGGCTTATCAATTCCTCTAAGTTTGTGTTCACGGCCGACACGTCCCTAGTGTCCTACGTGCCAAAGAAAGGCAAAAATGTGGTTCTCATGAGTACGCTCTATAGGGATGGGAGAATCTATGGCCAGGAACATCAAAAAAACAGAAATCATAATGGATTACAATGCCACAAAAGGAGGGGTGGACAATTTAGACAAGCTGGTGACTAGCTACAGCTGCAAAAGAAGAACCCTACGCTGGCCACTTGTGATATTCTTCAACATCTTGGACATCTCGGCGTACAACGCGTTTGTCATCTGGATGGCGTTGAACCTAGATTGGAACAGGGGGAAGCTCCAGAGGAGACGGCTCTTTCTCGAGGAGCTGGGCAAGGCATTGGTAAGACCTCAAATCCAGAGGAGGCAACATATCCCAAGGACCCCAGCTTCTGCAGCCATCGTGAGGAGGATTCAGGAGGAGGATGCTGGTGCCCCATCCGCCCGACCCACAGAACCAACAACTCTAATACCGGAAGTAAGTATGAGTGATGTTGTTGCATGTGTGTGTGTCTGACTCTCCTACCTTGGCCTGCTGTAACTATATATGTGAGTGAGTGAGTGAGTGAGATGTTAGCAAAATTCCTGAACTAAGTGTTTTCATCATTCTAGATTGCTGCCGGTAGCAACAAGAAGAAGCGCTGCGATGTGTGTGGACCCAAGAAGGACAGGAAGACACAGTACACATGCATCAAGTGCAAGAAATACATTTGCAACACACACACAGTAAAACTCTGTCCCTCATGTGGTGTGTAGACCGGCCTTAATTTGTGTTCAATGGGGCTCATTTATCATTTCCATAAAATAATGTATGTAAAATCTGTCCTTCCAATTTGTTCAGTTCAAAGCAATAAACATCAATAGTGATGAAAACCTTGTTTCATTTATATTTGTTCAAGATAAACATGATTCATTCCACCCATGTCTTGATTATAATTTTTTTTAAAAATTTTTAATAGCACTTTTATTGATAAATGTGATCTAGCAGAGGTAAATATTAACCATGTATGCTGTCTATATTGCTTGTAATTGATATAAGTCAACATCTAAGTATTAAGTATTTTTACGTAAATTGTTATGGCTGTATTGTTTTAAAAACCCAATGATGTTGTGGGTCCATCAGACCCCGTGAACATTGGGTGAATAACAAAAACATGAACACCACACAAGGGTTAAGACAATGAGGAGAAGGTTGTTTTTGTTTATCTGCATAGGAAGAGGCCAACACCCATAGGCAAGAGCTAACACACACAGGCAAGAGCTAACACACACAGGTAAGAGCTAACACACACAGGCAAGAGATAACACACACAGGCAAGAGATAACACACACAGGCAAGAGCTAACACACACAGGCACAGTCATGTAAAGAAGCATACAGACATTCAACACACGTTATTCAAACAGGTGTTTCTTACCTGGCTGCCCTCTCGTTGCCAGAACACAGTGGGTTGGGGGTTGCCCTTGGTCTCACAGGGGAAGGTGGCTGTGCGCCCCTGAGCCATGATCTGGTCCCGGGGTCGCACCACAAACTGGGGAGCCTCTGAAGGTCAAAGGTCAGAGAAGTAAACCACTGTCACCACAGCACAGCAGGAAGACATTTAGAGACAGTTCTGTTCATGTGCACAAACGAATCAAGGGAAGCTACAGGTTTCAGCTACAAGCTACAGGCTACAGGCTACAGGGAACATGCAACAGGTGATTGTCTAGTAGTCTCTCTGAACAGCCATTACTACAGGTAGCAGACCACACAAGCCATTCATCCTGCTGGCCACAAACCTGAATGAATGAGACCAACTCATGAGCACAAGTGCTTTTACATACATTCTCCCCTTGTAGTCTCTACATCAGAACTACTGCATATCAACTACTATGTCTTGACCAGCAAGTTGGAGAAACAGAGGGGTTACAACTAACTTAACAACACACAACTAAATGGAGGGCTGGGTTGGGTGGTTCAAACTAAGGAGGTACATGTGCATGTATTAGTATGTTGAATAATCAGGTGTGAATGTGTGCTGGTGTTAATGGGTGTGTATGTATGCAAGTGTAGGAACAGCCCTGCTTTAGCATGTGAGCATGTGCATTTGAGTGTATGTTTGTGTGTGTGTGTGTGTGTGTGTGTGTGTGTGACAGAGAAAAAGAGAGCAATGCATGCACAATGGGATCAGCTCTTACTTACCAACAGGATGAGCTGGTGACAGAACAATGGTATGGGTGGGTGAGGACAAAACACAAGACAGAGAGGAGAGGAGGAGAGGGAAAGAAAAAAAATGGAAATCAGAAATGAATGACGTGGTGTTGGGTATCAAATTCCAGCAGGTAAGGAGGAGGAGAATGGGGCTCAGTCACCATGGCAGGTGATGGCATGGGGCTCAGGTAAAGGAAATACACCTGGGTATCATCATGGAGGGGTGTATAGTTTAACACAATAACCTTGTACACTTAGGCGTATTCACAGATGTGGGAACACCACAGAATTGTCACTTAACACTTTGCTGATGTACAAGCAAAAGACAGAAAGCTGGATCTCACCCTCTTCACCTCTTCACCTACCCTGAAAACACTTTCTCATGCCACCAATTCTCCTATTAGCATCCCAGTTGACAGAGGACACAGTGTGGTGTGGTGATGTGCAATGGATAGTGAGATACAGGGTGTGTAACACAATTGGTTCTGGTTAAGTTGCTCATATCTGAGTGGAGGCTGGAGATACTGGTTTAATCATCCAGCCTGGGCCCTGGGAGAGCAGTGAGATCACACCAGATAGACTTCAGTATTCAACGTTTGTCCAGGTCCCCAGCATGTTGGGAGATGCCGTCAATACCGTCCACTAGGGGCAACGTGACCATGTATTAGTCTCTAGTAGGCTCAGGGCTTGCTAGGACGTTGTGGATGGGGATAACAAAGGGTTTAAACTGGGTGTTTCGGCTACGAGGATCGCGGGTTCAATCCCAGTGCTAGGCACTCGTTTACATTTTTTCTGTTTTAATCTTATCCCAAACCTTAACCCTTACCTTAATCCTTACCTTAACTCTTACCTTATCCCAAACCTTAACCCTTGCCTTAACCCTTGCCTTAACACTTACCTTAACCCTTACCTTATCCCTTACCTTAACCCTTACCTTAACCCTTACCTTAACCCTTACCTTAACCAGTTGGAATTAATGCCTAAACTTAACCGTCATGTCTTTTATGCTTCAGTGTCAGGTTTTTTCAGTTTTAACAATGTTGAATACTGAAGTGAGACTGTGAGACCTTGTTGGGGAGAGAGAGGGACTGAGCCCAGCTCCAGGCTCACAGCAGGGGGGCAATAACACTCCCAGGGTGGGGGAGAGGAATGGCCTGGGCCCACCCAGCTGAGACTAATACCACAGCTCCAGAAACAGGACTGGTGACAGGTGTCTGACTGTCTCATACAGTCGCCTATACTCACCCCTGACGGTGAGGGTAGCCGAGGCCTCCACTTTGCCCACACGGTTCTCGGCCACGCAGGTGAAGGTCCCCTGGTCCCCAGCCGACGCCTTCTTGATTCTCAGGAGGAAATCCTCCTTCTCATATCGGATGTCATACCTGGGGAAGGAGAGGGGGAGAGGAGCAATTTACATTAGCGTGAAGTCAAGCTTGCAGTAATCAGTCGACTGGAAAAACGGGCCAAGTTCTGTATAAATAACAATTACACAAAACAATTTACCGTATGCTTACTACAGTAAGTAACCCATTCTGGGACATTTCAGAGCAAAGCTTACATAAAATAATAGGTTGTGGACATAAGGCTGTTTGAAGAATAAAGCGAGGCTTCCTGAGGTACTTAAGACTCCCCGCTGCAGAGAGACTATGTTCTGCTACACAGGAGGAGGAGAAGGGGGCCACTTATGCAGGGATGAAAGGCAAGGCAAAATGAAAGGTGCTTTCAGCTGGAACCCTGACTGTTCCTCTATTTCAATATTTATGAAGAAGGGCACCCACTGTTGGATGCGTGCGTGAGTGTGTGTGTGTGAGTGAGTGAGAGAAAGTGAAAGAGAACAAGAGAGAAAGAGAGAGAGCCTATACTGTATCTGACATAGTGTATCTGGTGCACTCCCATAAATCCACACCCAGAAGCAGACAGTCACACAGACACACACAGACAGACAGGCAGACACACAAACACACACAGCTACGGATGAGAAAGACTTGGCAGTAATGACTAATTCATAAAGATACACTACGCATCACAGCAGCCAGCCAGTCTCAGCACTGAGAGAAACAGCAGTCCTAACAGAGCAGCGCTAACAGTCCATCACTCAGGGGCAGAGGGTTTGACATGGCTACAGAGCATGGAGCATTATGGAGCTGGACTCTCCCCTCTAAGGGGCCTTTTCTGGTCTCTGAAGCAGGCAGACCAGCAGCCTGTAAACCTGTCTAGTCTTCCATACCATCTGGACATGTGAGACGAGCAGAGCAGTGAAACACAATGATGGGGGAGATGGCGGGAGGGGGCACGGATAAGAGAAGGTGAGAAAAGTGAAGGAGAAAATATCGATAGAGCTTTTCTGTCCGTTCGGACAGTTGTTCTGTCTGACTGAACCTTGTGAAGGCTCCAGTCACGTCACGTCTCTGACCCACATACACACCTCCCTGGAGGGCCGGTCTGAGAGGGATGGAGGGATGGGGAAAGTGAGGGAGGGAAGGAGGGAGCGTAAGAGAGAGAGCGAGAGAAAGAAAGAGAGAAGGGAGGAAGGCTGGTCTGGAAGTAGGGCATGTTTCTGGAGTCAGGGGGAAGGAGGGAGTAAGGAGTGAGCAGGGAAAAGCCAGACACTACTCTACTCCTGTCTGAGAGAGCACTCCCCACGGCCACCTCCTGTCTCAGACACATGCTGCTGCTGCTGTACATGCAGACGGAAACCAACACTCTCACACACCACTCCTTTAGATTAGCTACTTCCTTTAGAAATACACACTTATGCCATGTAGGGAAAAACATATTTCCTCTCACGCAGATCACAATATGGTCAAAGACGTCATATGGGATTAAATATGAACAAACTGTGAGAGCATTTTCAGTTACTGTGACGAAGAGAGCAGAGAGTCATGGTAAATGTAGTTTTATGCTGTTGACCTAAACACACATTGACTCCATTGGCAGCATGGTCCTGATTCAAAGTAATGGCCTAAATAGAGGACATTGTTAGATCTGGGACCTTGTGTAGTGTAGCTATATACATATAATTATTATTTCTATGAGTCTAGCTAGGACTGTTATATCATAGAAAATCAAAAGCTAAAACACTAAAATATACATACAGACATACAGATAGAAAGGAGGAAGGAGAAGAAATTCAATTACGGGATTCATATATTGTGAATGCACACATGCACAAGAGACATAAATGGCAATCTACGGAATACTCATGGCTTCACACACACGGACAGCATACACGCGAGCCTGCAAACACACTAAATCCACTTTTTATCTCAGGGTAGCACGCGTATGGTAAGTAGAATATATTACATTTAATCTGGGTTTAAGAACAGGACTGTGGGCTTTGAGAAATAATGTTAGGTACCGTGATCAAAGCTGTAGTAAACATGTCAGGTGTCTACCTGCTGTAGACTGGGACTCATTAGTCCTGCCTCACAATCCATATTAACACTTGTACACAATGTATGAAAAAAAATGATGTATGCACTCACTAACTGTAAGTCGCTCTGGATAAGAGCGTCTGCTAAATGACTAAAATGTAATGTAAAATGCTTCAACCACCACAGCCACAGCAGGAATTCATAGAAAACACAAACGCATGCACACACACACAAGCAGGCACGGACACACACACACACACACACACACACACACACACACACACACACACGTACACTCTCTCTCTCCTCACCTGCCGCGGGGTATATCCACGTCGTCCTTCCTCCAGCGTAGTGAGGGTGGTGGGTCTCCCTGTACCTGACACCTGAGCTCCACACTCTCCTCCACTAGGACCACTTGGTTCACCGGCCGACGAACAAACGTGGGTCTCTCTGGACAACCACCACACACACAAAGATAGGACATGAGTCTACAAGCTCTCATAAACAGGAAGCATGTAGACAGTGCAGCCATTACATGAAGCACCAGGGGATGGGTCTGTCCTTACCGAACACAGAGAGCTGAGCCGTCTCACTGTCTCTCTCCCCCACCATGTTGGTGGCCACACACACATACAGCCCTGCATCACTCTTCCTGGTGTTGGAGATGGTCAACTTCCCTCCACGTACCTGACAGATAGATAACAGAGATAGCTTAACAATGTCTAAATCAGACACTCTGTACACTGCTTTCAGTGATGAGAACCATTGTGACTACTAGCCACTGACTGAAATGGACTCATGCTACACCAGACAGAGGGGGTGGTTAAATTAATTTGCATAGCGCAGAGAAGAGGGTCCTGAAGAAGAACTGTACTCACAGTGATCCTTTCACCTTTGAGGTCCAGGCGGGACTTGTCTTTCCTCCAGAAGGTGGTGGGCTCAGGGTGCCCACGAGGAGGTTGGCACTCCAGGATGGCAGGCTCCCCCACCGCCACCACCACGTCCTGGGGATTCTGTCTGAAGTCATCACGCAACACTGGGAGTAACAGAGAGAGGGGGGTTAGAGTCTTTCTAAGCAAGGTTTTTACTGGGTTCATTGTGGATATATTGGATGTAGTGTTTCATCCAGTGTGTCCAAGCTGGATGATAAAAAAACACAAGAGTTCACGGACAATAAATATAATATATACAGTGTAGAAATAACATTGCACTCTGTCTGGAGGAGAGCCAGAGCCTAGAGCAGAACTCTAGTCAAACAGGAATTGTGTGGGATGGAGCCAGAGCCCCGAGGCCCTGCTGTCAATCACAGCCAGCTGTGGCAGACGAGATCCGGGGTGTCTCAGTCACAGAGGCCTGGCCAGGTCTACAGAGCCATATGGCTGGGTGGGTTCTGTCACTGTCACACGTCACTCCTCTCCTCACTCAGACAAACCTTTGTTCCTCATAAAGGTGTTGTGCCACCCCATAGTGCCACCCCCACCTCCCTCCTGCTGCACCACTTCCAACAATGCACCTTCAGAAAGCGCAGAGCGTGATATTCCATATGGATACAATACAATTTACAAGCCGTGAGAAAAAATAAGTGCCTTTCTTGAGCGAACACTCGCACTTATCTTTTCTTAATAGCACTGACTTTACTGATAGCTACTTTATTGAGGATATGTACTTATGACTGTGATAGGTGGTTGTCTGACTTAGCTAGCTTAAGATGAATGCACTAACCGTCGCTCTGGATAAGAGCGTCTGCTAAATGACTAAAATGTAAATGTAAGAGCCACATATTCCAGCTATATTTGTTCCACCACAGTGAGGATAAAAGGAAAAATCACAACTGTGGGAGAGAACACATTTTGGTCAGCAAGAAGTGAAATGAGATGCAATCCTGCACACCTCTGAGAGGGTAGAAACCCAACCCAATAGAATGATTCTGAAATGGGCTTAAATTCTCTAGCATGATGGGTGGTAAAAATATGGTACAACATGAAGATATTTGGATACAAATTACCATAGGGGCCTCATTACATGAGGGCATCATTATGTGAGGTGAGAGTGGAGCTAGAGGATGGTGGTATATCAGGTTACTGCATCCTAATATTCCAAACTGGTCCTGTACATGTAGCCTAAGGCCATCATTGAAACCTTGCCATGATTCAAGCCTACAGTATTTGAGAAATACTACTTTGCTAAACACCATAGACACAGAAAGCAGAGATGAAAAGGGCTTGAAACTGCATGTGAGCAATAAAATGAGCGACATTGATTTAAAAAGAGAGTAGGTGTTAAATAGCAGCTAGTTGTTGTTTGTTCTGGCTTTGGACTCACAACATACTGTACCATAAAAGAGGTATGCAAATCTTGCATGATAAATGTTAAACATCTATAGACTGGTTAGCTGACAATGTCGTGAAAACGATGCGCACGCTTCAATTGGGGCAGAAGGCCGTGTGTTGTTGTGATTCTGGATGGCAAGATAACTAACAACAATGACAAGAGGAGAATCGTGGGTGGCTCATTTCAGCTAATTTTATCTTAATCTTGATACCAAGTCCTGTTTTGATGTATTTTGACCAATGTCACGTCTATGCTAACAGGGTTTTTTTCTGGATCAAAAAGGGGCTTAGGTGGTGCCCGTGGCAGGGGCGTGGCAGGGTGTGTGGCAGGGGCGTGGTAGGGGGCATGGCAATGAATGGGGTCGTCCACCAGCGCAGCTACATTTTAGAGAACATTTTAGAGACCACCATCTTGGCGCTGTAGAGACATTTTTAAGTCAATTTCCTGCAATTCTACACATTTTGCATGCAGCTGGGAGAAAATGTTGCAGTTTTAAAGCTAGTTTCCTGTAATTCTACGCATTTTGCCATGGATAATGCTGTGTTATTTATTTCAAACATAACAACAAAATGAATACTGCTAAATGTTTTGCATTTTCAATTCTCCCTGACTGTCTAGCTTCTATTTTGGTGATTGTAAGTTCTTAAAGATTATAAAAAAAATATATAGATCCACTCCATTATCTTTTCTACATACTTAATATCTGGTTTTAGTCATCTAAGTTTACGTTTAAAGCGTTTTTCCATCCCGAAAATGTATTAAATAAATACATTTTAAAAAACACGGCTCGCCCAAGGATTACAATGGCAGACAAATTCCTTGCTAATATGGCAAAAAATTGCTAGCTAGCTAACCAACAACTGTAACGATGTATTTGAGAGACAAGTGCTCATTGTGCAAATGTATTTATGTTTCCAATAAAATTGGAGACTAAATATAGTTGTCAACAATCTAAGCCAGGGTTCTTCAATTCCGGTCCTGGAGGGCCGAAACACCTCTGTTTTACATCCTCTCCTTCTGATCAGGGGCTAATTCAGACCTGGGACACCAGGTGAGTGCAATTAACTACCAGGTAGAAATAAAAAACAGAAGTGTTTCGGCCCTCCAGGACCGAAATTGAAGAACCCTGATCCAAGCCAACCCCGTCTGTTTTGCCCCATAGTTGTGAATGCGTCGGTTTTGTTGCTAAACAACCAACCCATCTATACTGCATGTAGGCCAATGATGTAATAGAGTCCAACAACCAGGACTACTGCTGGCATTGCTGGCTGTAGAATGGTGTGTTTTATAATATGATCTCTCTTGACAGAGGTCTGCTGAACAGTAGTTTGGAGTTTGTTGAATAGTCTATGTGATGAGAACAGCCTGCAGGGGCGTGTCACTTTCTCAACAGCAGTCAGAGGCCTGTCCCATTTCTGTCACACTTACGACACATAGCCGACACATGCACACACACACACACACAGTTGCCCAGGTCACGTACTACCAGCATTTGCTGATGAGCATTTTATCAAAAAGACCCGGAGACAGAGATAGAGAGCGAGAGAGACAATAGACACACAATGGGGGCTGGAACAGGGAGGGGGTTATTTGCATTGGGGGATTTTTTAATAAATAAACAACTTAGCATGTCTGTGCCCTAAAAAAGTCATCAGCAATCAGTCAGGAGAAACTTCAGAGTCGAGACGACAAATGTTTACCCAGCATTCCCCAAGGCCATGAGTCCAGAACATTACCTATTAGAACGCTCTCTTTTTAGCAGCCAGGCAGCGTCGGCAGGCAGGCAAAGACAAAGGACCAAAAGCCACTCACAGAGAGGATGTGGCTGGCGGCAAACAAAGTATATACAGTAGTCACGCAGATCACGTACAAACAACTGAAGCTCGAGGAGCAAAGGGGGGTAAGGAAGCTACTGATTATGAACGGGCATGACATGATAAGTAACATCAATCAGCAGGTCACATCCAATCCCTGATCTTTAAACCTTTGACGCCCCAACTTGCATCCTACTCCTTAGGTGTCTGTCTATGTGAATGGTGACATGTCTTGACTATAACAGTGAGTGCCTCTCCCTTCATAACTGTTAACACTGGTACAATACTCCTCTCATAGAGGTGTACCAATGTCTGTCTTCCATTTGCCTGTGGGTCAGCCAGCCTGCCAGCCACCATGAATGGTTAACAGTTAAGCACTAACTACAGTCATGTTGCATTAGCATCCCCTCCTCTTGACATGTAATGTAAATTGAAGATGTAAATGTCAGAGGATGCTCTCCTCCCCTCCCCCCTCCCATCCCTCTCTCTCTCTCCATCCTCCCAATTACAGTAACAGAACTCCCACAGACCACACTTCCACATCTATAATTGAATATCGTCTACTCTTCTGTCTCTTTACGCATTCACTGACTAAGACGCTTCTCCTGCTCCCAACCTTACCTAACCTACTTCTCTCTCTCTCCTGCTCCCCTGCTCCTCTCCCTTCTACTGTATAACAGCATCTACAGCTGGAACTGGGAAGATTTGTGCATTTTTGGTTTGTAGCCTTCTGTGTCTGAAAGTATTGTAACATAGAAAGAGATGGATTGATGGTATGGTAAATGGCTTTTAATAAATGTTTATAACAAACTAAAGGACTTAAAAAAAGTGGCTTTTAACAGGCCTGATTTGGTACAATTAGATTATAGGCCTCTGTTTGGTGCTCCCTACTGAATGAGTAAATCACTGGGTTCTGATGTCATCTCTAGCCCAGTCATCCTGGAAGAGGCTCAGTGGCCCACAGGCCCTGTGTGTTTCTAGGACTGGACACTGAGAGGATGCCTTCTGCAGTACAGTACACTGTGGGGTTGGGTGGGTTGGGGGTGGGGGGATGGGGTGTGTGTGGGGGGGGGGGGGGGGGGGGGAGGAGAGATGACTATGATATGTGGTTCTCTCACTTAGCTATCTTAAGATGAATGCAGTAATTACTCTTGGTAAGAGCGTCTGCTAAATGACTAAAATGTAAATGTAGATTAAAAAAATTAAATAAAAAAAGTTAACCTTTATTTAACTAGGCAAGTCAGTTAAGAACAAATTCTTATTTACAATGATGTCCTATACCAGCCAAACCCGGACGACGCTGGGCCAATTGTGCGCCGCCCTATGGGACTCCCAATCACGGCCGGTTGTGATACAGCCTGGAATCGAACCAGGGTGTCTGTAGTGACGCCTCAAGCACTAAAATGCAGTGCCTTAGACCGCTGCGCCACAAGATAAGGAGAGCGAGAGAGTGAAAGAGCAGAGAGATACAGAAACACACAGAGAGAGATAGAGAGAAAGAAAGATAGAGAGAGAAAGAAAGAGAGAGCAAAGAGAGAGTGAAAGAGCAGAGAGAGAGAGAGCTTATTTCGCAGAGTGGTCGCTAGCATCATAAAACCTTCCAGCAATATTGTGAAAATGTTATGCATCAGTGGGAGTGTGAGTCAGGGATCTGAATCTGCCCTTTTATCTGCCTTGTTTCACTAAAGCAGCTATAGCCTGGGGAGGGTGGCTTTATTACATGCACTTGTCTTCCTTCGCTAAGATCACACAATGCAGTGTTGCAAAAAAGGTTGCTCAAACACAATGGAGAGAACTTGATAGTATAAAATAATGTCCCTAAATGTGTTTGTGTTCTCACTAAGATCAGGTTTAATTACGAACTAAACTGTTCAGCTTTTCAGAGTAGG